ACATAATGGACACTCTGATGGGAATAAGAGTTTTAGTTTTTTTGTGTATCTAATGTTTCCCCCCTCATACTCTTTGTACTACATGAATACATTCTAATCCGAGGCCTTATTATTGTTGGGATTCGATTTTGCTCATCTCCTCCAGGAAGAAAGAGCTACAGCATTATCACTGGTAAACAAGATGGTTGAGTCATTAAAGTTTCTCCCAGTCCAGGTAGGTTCATCACTTGGGGTTGTGATTTCCAATTGATGTACATTCATTTCTTTAATATCTTCTTGTTTCTGATTCATTTCATTGTCTTATAGGCTCGCCTTTACGAAGGGAATGAACCGATTCAATTTTATTCAATTTTCCAGAGCTTTGTTGTCTTCAAGGTTTGTTAGATATAATCTGCAGTTAAAGAAAGTTGTAGGAGAATGTTTTTTTCTTCTTATTCCATACATGAATTTTGATTTCCTAAAAGATAATGTGATGAAATACACACTTCAGGGAGGCCTAAGTAAGGGGTACAAGAATTATGTTGCGGAGAAGGAAATTCAAGATGAAACTTACCAAGAGGATGGGATTGCATTATTTAGAGTCCAGGGCTCTGGACCCGAAAATATGCAAGCAATACAAGTAGACCCGGTACTTGTACTATTAGCATCTCGTTAGTTCTTTAATCACGCACACATATGACAAAGATGTCTTTAGTTAACATGATTGCAAAAGGTATTGTAGAAAGATTAAAGTTTATTTAATCTTTTCTACAGTCTTATCACTCTCCTCCATATGAGAAAAGGTACGTGTGAACTATTGGTATCAATTAGAGAGAAAATTTCACAAGAGCGCTCCTGAAATTGATATCATAATAAGTCACTACTAAACATAGCATAACTAGCTTAGCTCAAAGACTACATTGACATCATTTTGATCACTACTAAACTTGGAAGGTTAAATTGATAGATTATGATGTATTTAAATCTTTATGTATATATTCTTACCTTTCCCCATCTCTTTTCTCCCTCGGCAGGTTGCATCGTCTTTAAATTCCTCCTACTGCTACATATTGAATAGCAGCTCCTCTGTCTTTACATGGTCTGGAAGCCTCACAAACTCAGATAATCAAGAGCTTGTTGAGCGATTGCTGGATTTGATAAAGGTTGTGTAGTTCTCTCAGCTTGGACACAAGAGTTTGATTTCTAAACAGAGCTTCTTGACAAATGTGTTCTGTATGAAAAGAAACCTGATTGCATAAATTTGTTGCAATCTATCATTTCACATCCATACGCCTTTCACTTTGGCAAAGAAGTCATGCTTATCTGAGTTTGAGTTTTGTTTAACTAGATAGGCCAGAGTTTTGTTTATCTCGTTACCTTTCTTTTTATTGATTTCTCACTTGTGTTTCAATTGCCAGCAGCCCAATGTACAATCTAGACCACAAAAAGAAGGTACAGAATCTGAACAATTTTGGAATTTGCTGGGAGGCAAATCTGAATATCCTAGCCAAAAAATCAGTCGAGAGGCTGAAAGTGATCCACACCTATTTTCTTGTACCTTCTCTGGAGGTTAGTATAATTCTTCCTGCTAGTGAAAAATTTATGCTTTGTCCTGTACTCTTCCATTCCGCTATACTTCTAAATATGACCCCTTTTCCTGTGAACTTGTGATGGTCATGATGAACTTGCAGGAAATTTGAAGGTACATTCTTTTCTCGTTCTGATCCATAAATTTCCTATAATTTATACTATCATGTTCTTTCATTTCTTCTCAATACAAGCTTAGTTTCCCCAAAAAGAACAAAAAAAGAGAAGACACAAAAGAAACAAAAACATTAAGAAGCTACTGTAAATGACCGTCTTTCCCGAGAAGGTTAGTTAATGTGAAGTTTCGCAGGTGGTGGAGGTATATAACTTTGATCAAGATGATTTGATGACCGAAGACATACACATTCTGGATAATCACTCAGAGATATATGTATGGATCGGCCAACAAGTCGACTCCAAGAGTAGATTGCATGCTTTAACTATTGGTGAGGTACGAATAACGTATTTCCTAGCCAACTTCACGTGTTACTTTTCGCCAATGTTTCATTATATCATCTGGCTATTCAACTGGGAAGAAATTTTTCGACATTCAATCTGCCCCTTTCTTTTCCCCACCAATGTTATATCTAAGTTCCTGATATATCAATGTCATCGGTTCTATGTTATTTTCATATCTTGGGAGTCTGATACTAATAGTTTTCCAGGTTGTTCATTCATCATTGTCTTCTCGACAAACTATGACATTCTCATTATTGGTAATTTTCTTTCTTATTGCAACAGAAATTTCTAAAACATGATTTTCCTCTGGAAAATCTATCTTCTGAAGCTCCGGTGTACATTATCACGGAAGGTAGTGAACCCCCTTTCTTTACTCGCTTCTTTAAATGGGACTCTGCAAAATCTTTGGTAAGCACTCCACATTTATTCTAGTATGTATGCCTATAAATTATCTGCAAGCAATTAAGATTTTCGATCTTAAACAGATGCACGGAAACTCGTTCCAAAGAAAACTTACAATAGTCAAAAGTGGAGGCACTCCTGCTCTAGATGTAAGGCTTCTTTATATAGTTTCAATTCTTAACCCCCCACCGACAAACACAGTCCATTGATTTTCTTAATCTGCATTATGTTCCTTTTATTTCTTCACATTATCATCAACCACCCTCTTCTGCTCTTCACATTCTTTTCCTAGTTTCCTGGTCTTTATTGATGCCCCCACTAATAAGTGACTTCATTATTACTCAGAAACCAAAGCGAAGAACACCGGTATCATATGGTGGGAGGTCTGCAGTCCCAGACAAATCACAACGCTCTAGGAGCATGTCTTTTAGTCCTGAAAGGGTCCGTGTAAGGGGGAGGTCTCCTGCTTTCAATGCATTGGCTGCTACTTTTGAGAACCCCAATACAAGGAACCTTTCTACTCCACCCCCAGTTAGAAAGATCTACCCGAAATCAGTGAGCCCAGATTCAGCAAAATTAGCTGCCGCAAAATCTACCATAGCAGCTCTTGGTGCTAGCTTTGAACAGCCACCACCTGCTCGAGAAGCTATTATACCACATTCAATAAAAGGTAGCCTTCAATTTATAAATTCAAGGCAGCTATTTCATGGCTTCATACCTGACATAATTACCTTGTATTGGGTGAACTGACTCCTCCAGAGCCTCCCAAACCTAAGCCGGAGACTAATAACAATGGTGAGGTTAATGATAAGGAGAAGCAAAACTCAAAGACAGTCGGAATTGAAACTCTCACCATACAGGAAGATGTGAAAGAAGGTGAGGCTGAAGATGATGAAGGCCTCGCAATATATCCATATGACCGTCTAAAAACTACATCTACCGACCCCATTTCAGACATTGATGTGACAAGACGAGAGGTAATATTAAAAAAGTAATGCTTCAACTTGAGTCTATAGATTCTTATTATGATATTTTCTAAGATGCTTAAATTTGCAACTCTGCAGACTTACCTCTCATCAGAAGAGTTCAGGGCAAAGTTTGGAATGACGAAGGATGCATTTTATAAGTTGCCAAAATGGAAACAGAATAAGCATAAAATGGCCCTTCAACTATTCTAACTCCTGTATGGTTTCCTCTGATCATTTCACTCAGTTTCCTGCAGTTCTATGTTACCAGTGGAAGAGGCTTGGTTTTCAAATCTATTTGTTGTTAGATGTAAGGAGCCTTCTGAACTGGCTGGACTCAACTGGTAAGGAGTGGAAGGGCCAGCTTCAGTGCATTTTTAGCTGCTTCTGTTGCCCAGAGACTTGTGTTCATGATTGATGGACAAATTCAAGTTCTGGTTTTTGCTTGCGTCCTTGCAAACATCTTTACCTTATTTATTTCTTTACTAAGCATTTGGTATTCATTTTAATGTTAAACCTATGTTGTGAGCTTGCAATTCCCCCCC